GGATTTGACGAGCTCAGGTGTTTGTGATATGACGAGCTTCCGATTTTCAGGATATGCTGAGCTCATATGTTTGTGATATGATGAGCTTCCGATTTTCAGGATATGACGAGCTCATTTGTTTGTGATTCGACGATCTCGTCGTCTGTGGTGATCAATTGTTTGTGAGACGACGAGCTCGTGATTTCAGATTTGACGAGCTCAGGTGTTTGTGATACGACGAGCTCGTGATTTCGGATTTGACGAGCTCAGGTGTTTGTGGTAGGACGAGCTCCCGATTTTCAGGATATGACGAGCTCATATGTTTGTGGTATGATGAGCTCGCGATTTCAGATTTGACGAGCTCATTTGTTTGTGATTCGACGAGCTCGTCGCCTGTTGTGATCATTTGTTCGTGAGACGAGGAGCTCGCGATTTCGGATTTGACGAGCTCAGGTGTTTGTGCTGGTTCTGCGAGTTGAGCTGTCTGTACGGCTGCTCGTAGTCGCAAAGGGCAGTCCCTGAGAGGATGTTTTGAACTGATCGCAGAGGTTGTGATGCAGTTGGTAGCTCTGATCTTCCCTTAGTGTCCGCCGTCTTGTAGCCCTTCCTCAACTGCCCGATCAGTCAACTAGCGGTCTTCGCCCACCTGACCCTCCAAGCTATGATGAGGAAGGAGATGCCCTAATCTGATTGAGAGCCTATAGGCATAGCTGCATTCAATCCTAACTCTAGCTAGTCCTTTCTGACTCTAATCTGCCTTTGCTTCAAGCCCTTCTGTACCCACTTCTTTTTTAAAAGAAAGCCTTGTTCATCTCTTATTAAGCCACCAGCAGTCGCTTCCGAGGAGTGGTGTCGCACAACGCCATCTCTATTTACGAGCATCATACCTGAAGGTTTAGAATCCTAATCCAACGTGGGTTTTGGGCAAAGTGAGCAGCACTATGGCGCCATGCAATATCTCTGCTCAGTTTTAATGCATAATGGAGAGGTCGGGTCAGAAGGAGAGCCGTCAAATATTCTTGACGTTCTCGATTTCCAAATACTCCAGAGCATCGATAGAAAGACCGTACCCCAGCCACTTCCATTGACGAGAGGTCTCTCTTTTAAAGAGTTAGGGCGCAGCCAAACATTAACAGAACCCCGAAAGAAGTTTTGGGGAATTAAATCCCTCCCTAGTTTTCTCCATGAAAAGAGAGCGTAAGGACAACCCCTGAAAATATGTGAAGCCGATTCCAGCATGGCAAGCACCACAACTAAAATCCCCTGTCATGCCTTTATGATACTCCCTCAACATTTCTCTTTATCACAACCCTTTATGTTATGATATTTTAGAAGCATGGAAAGGAAAGTAGCTCTCTATAGCTAACTCAATTACCTCTTTTGTCTATGACTGAAAAAAGCTTCTAAATTACATCTATCCTCGCTATGACGGATTTCATAGTTTCATCGAGGTCGCCATGAGTTTAGTTAGCATGAAAGGGGTGGGGCCCCCGCGTGTCAGCAATTCCTATCCATCTGAAAAGCAGGGATGTCAGCAAATCAAATAAGGGCGCTCCTTCTTAGTTGGAAGCCAACTATCCCAATAATCCCAATGACGCTTATCAGGAAGGGAACTCAGAACTGAACTTGGATCACCCGTCTGCTGCAACCGGTCAAGATAAGTCTGCTTCGGCAACAATACGAGGAGCTCGCGATTTTGGATTTGACGAGCTCAGGTGTTTGTGAATGGACGAGCTCCCGATTATCAGGATATGACGAGCTCATATGTTTGTGATATGATGAGCTCGCGATTTCAGATTTGACGAGCTCATTTGTTTGTGATTCGACGATCTCGTCGACTGTGGTGATCATTTTGTTTGTGAGACGACGAGCTCGCGATTTCGGATTTATTGAGCTCAGGTGTTTGTAATACGACGAGCTCGCAATTTTAGATTTGACGAGCTCAGGTGTTTCTGATACGACGAGCTCAGTGTTTGTGATATGATGAGCTCCCAATTTTCAAGATATGACGAGCTCTTATGTTTTTGATATGACGAGCTTCCAATTTTCAGGATATGACGAGCTTATTTGTTTGTGATTCGACGAGCTTATGATTTCAAAATGCAATGAGCTCGCCGCATTTGGGAGGTGGCGAGCTTCATAGTGCTTAAGGATGACAGGTAGGTGTTCTACGAAAGGGGGGATGCATGCAGACCTAATAAGGGGCATGGCGAAAGTAATTTCGTGGATAATCCAATGCTTATGACGGTTCATCCCCGAAATTAGGGGGGCTATGATGATGTGGCATTACGAAGTGTAGCTCGGCAGGTGTGCAAAGCCATAGTGTAAAAAGAGAACAGCTCGGCGGGGATGCGAGCTAGTCGGTTCAAAGAGCGCCAAGCTCGGATAGGCTCAGTGAGTTAGGCGCAAGTGAGGATAGGTTCAGGAGCTCGGCCGGGTTACCGAGCTGATAGGCCTAACATGATGGTAACTTGGGAAGATAAAGATCAACACTTATCCTTAAGTTCAAAGTTGAAATAGCTAGAGCTACAAGATGCTGCAAATTCGGATGAGTAAACCAGTTAGTGAAAGCGGTACGAATGTAAAACCTGTGTCTGTAGAAACTGTCATGGTTGCATGTCCCGATCATCTTGTCTTAGCCGATCTTCCTGTTGCCAAAAGTCTCGGTTCTCCATGTTCGGCTGCTGTTATCAAGAATGTTGGTCGGAGGTCCCGTCGGCAGCTTGGTGAGCGCGTTCATTTTTGTGTCCGGTGTGACTTCCTGATTGCTATCTATGGGCATTTGGCAAGTGCTTTCTCTATCTCTCTCTCTCTGATTATTTTGGTTGTATGATTAACTGACAATGTGAATATGTGAATTATTAGAATCTTTTATGCCATACTAGGAAGGATGAATGAGCTCTAGTTTCCTCGTATAAGGATTGATATTTTGTCTGGTTGAGACATGATTTTGTTAACATACCGTGACATGACATGAGTTTTTCCTAGCCAGTGCATTTGAAAACTTATTTTATTATTACTGCAGAGCTCACACACTGCCTCAAGTCCTTCCTGAAGAGGACTGAATTCGTGTCATACATTCTTGGGGCCCACACTTACCTCATTAACCCAAACTGGAGAAAGGAAGTGAATGAGTCATCACGCGAGCTGATCACGTGCAGAACACCGCGTCCCCCGCCGAGGTACGCGCCTACCGACCTACACGCCAAGCTGACCTACGCGCCCACCTGCCGCCTTGCCGCGCCGTTGGCAGCCCCCCCGTGCCGACCTGCCGA